TCCTTCCTTTTTAGTGTATTAACACTGTATATTTTTTACTATTATTTGTAACCATTCCCTCCGAGGAGTGATTATGTGTTAATAAATAAATAATAATAATAATAATTATTGCATCCTTAGAAATACAGTCGCGCCGCTTATTACGTGAAAACAATAGAAGGCTTTAAAAGTAGTCACACCACAATGGACATGAAAACTACAATGGTGGTTACTGATGTAGAGATGGACACAAAATATAAACCAGTTGTAATATGTTTCGTTAAAATGAAAATGGGCATATCAGCGTTGAAATAATCACAGAAGTGTAGTTATCATCGGTAAAAACATGTTAACTCGCTAAACAGGAACTCATGTGACCCAACGTTCAACAAACGTAATCTTGTTCGTTCCTCAGTGGCGCCAAGAACTAGATAAATGAACAGCCATCTCCCTGGTTGCCAGGACGCCGATTTTTTTGGGCACCGCCAGCCAATGGTAGCTGTGGTTTCACGCACCTCTGTTGATACTTAGTACTAAGGAACGCAAATCGCGGAACTTTACTCTAAACTTTGACATACTCTCACTCACCCATGGAGCTAAAAATCTTCTTTTAGCTCCAAGACTCGCCCCAACCTAACATTGACAAATAAAGAAACACTTGCAACTCAAATACGATCGTTATGGATGGCCACAGATCATTGTTACTATCCGTTAACTGGCTAATTGGGTGAATTTTGCGCCTGTTTTTCTGGATGATATAGGGTTTGTTAACGATTATGTCAACTGCCATAAGCAACACAGTTACTAAATATTCCGAGCTTCATGTTTCAGAATACACCACATCATAATACAGTCTTGTATTTCGTCAAACTATTTTCCAAATGAGGTATTTATGTTGTTGTCACGTTTTCTTTTCTCTTTTTTAGCGTCTTAATTTTCTCGTACACTAACAAATCTGTCAATTTTTCTGTTCCTAAATCCATGGTGAAAAGAGTAGAATACAATTTTGGATGTCAGAAAGTTGTCAATCAGACTGCGCGAATTCACGGTCTCTAAAGCTGGTCTCAGACACGGTCTCATTTCCGGTCTGCGTGGCATCCGAGAGTCTCTAAATCAGTCTCAAACACGGTCTCAAATGGCATGTTCCACTGTGGGAAAGTCTCAAAACTGGTCTCAAATACTTTCTAGAGGGTACCGTACATACCTCATAAATCTATAACAATCATATCCCATCATAGTTAGGTTACATGTAGGTTTGGTGAGGTTAATAATTGTTGTATAAAAGCACAGTCAATTGAAAAATAACATTCAGATTGGCAGTTTTATTGCATTTTGTTTGTGATTTTCATTGGGCATATGGTTTATTAATGTACTATGGGGTTTGCAGTAATACCATATAATAAGGCAATGACAATTTACATGACTCTCAGTTATACAGTACATGCCTATTTCATTGTAGAAAATCCGTGGTAGAGGGTCGTCAAAACATAAACGTGGCTGGGAAGTGGACTACGTGAAGCCAACGTCGTCAGGATTGGTGACAGTCTATGACATAGAAATAGTCTTACCGATTCATAAAACATTAGCGCAGAACTATGTGTAAGTATATGTACATATTACCATGGGAACTCCAAAAATATATCGTTTTACACAGAATCAAAAATATGTGTGGTGAACCGTGCATTAAAACAATATTACACATAGATATGTAGATGCAATGTGAATTATGAGCAGAGTAATAGAAACATGGGACCTCATAATTAAGCAAAGAAAGTGTTTTGCTTACAAACTTTTTTCAAGGCATTGAATTTCCAAGTTTCAGATTATCAGATCTATTTTTGATGGTTTTATACGCAGTCCGAAAGCGGGGACTTATGTTTTGACCTTGTGCGTCCGTGCATGCGTCCAGACTTGTATCTTAGAAATGCCTGGATCAATCACAATCAAACTTCACACATACATCATACATGATATTATACATATGCACATCAATTTGTTTCACGATCTGATTCAAGATGGCCGAATGGCAGCCATTTTTGTTCTAAAAATCATCAAAATTGTGCATTTCTCGGCTGTTTACAAATAGATTTTGTTCAAACTTGGTATATACGTTGGACATTGTAGAACCTTGATACACATCATTTTGTTTTTCAGATAAGATTCAAAATGGCTGACTGGTGGCCATTTTGTTTTAATGAATGTGGTTCTAGTGCCATATCTCTGACTTGCTGTGACTGATTATGTTCAAATTTTAAATATTCATTATACATCATTTCATCCTATTAAAAATGGCCGAATGGTGGCCTTTTTTATGCTAAAAAATCATCAAATATCAAGCATTTCTGGCATTTATTAATAGATTTTGTTCAAACTTGGTACAATGTACATACATTAGACATTACATGTTCCTGATGCACGTTATTTTATTTTTTAGATTGTATTCAGAATGGCTGACTAGTGGCCATTTTGTTTTAATGAATGGGCTTCTAGAGCCATATTTCTGACATGCTTTGACTGACTATGTTCTAATTTTATATACCGGGGGTATTCATTATACATGTATTCTGATTTTGTTTTACCAAATAATATTGTCTTTGGTGATATAGGAATAAAAATGTGAATGCAGAAATCCTGGTGATATACTGTAGAAAATCACTTTCAAGAGAAACATAATTTAGTGTATTTGTTCGCGGGTCACTGATTACCCTGAGTTTTACCAGGGAAAATTTCTTATGTGTCAGTATCTTTCTCAAAATTTCGTCTTTACAAATACTGTAAAATACTTTATTTTAGGTGGAATTAATTTTCGCTGAAAAGGCTTTTTGGATGTTCTGTTTGGAATTTATTTTCACTGATGGAAGTTGAATGTGAAATCTAGGAAAAAAAGTATATTCGTTGGATTTTATTTTCACTGAAGTATTCCTTCCGAGAATAGCGAAAATAAATTCCAAGCGAAAATAAAGTATTCTACAGTACCTAAAATCTCAAATTTCTGGCAGAGAAAAGTAAACAGTTCACAGTATTTTCATATTGTGGAAAACCGAGAATTACATAACTATAATCTGTTTTTCTTCACAGTCTGGATCATAATGATATTCCTGGAATGTGTAGTAAAAATGCTGCTGCAGCTGCCACTGTTAACAGGAAAG